ATATAGGGCCCCACTCCCTAGTTGATGCCAGCATAACCTGATGACTTTCTAACATAGGGTCTCCACTCCCTTATTGATGCCAGCATAACCTGATGATTTTCCAACATAGGGTTCCACTCCCTAGTTGATGCCAGCATAACCTGATGACTTTCCAACATAGGGTCTCCACTCCCTATTTGATGCCAGTATAACCTGATGATTTTTCGACATAGGGTCCCCACTCCTTAGTTAATGCCAACATAGGGTCCCACTCCCTAGTTGATACCAGCATAACCTGGTGATTTTTCCTAACATAAGGTCTCCAATCCCTAGTTTATTTTACTTTTAGGCATAGGGTCTCCACTCCCTAGTCTACATTTACTCCGGGTACACTATTCCAATGTTTTTATCGCTTTCGATAATGAAGTAGTATAGAATTTTGTTACAATAACTCACGAAATTTTCCTAGTGAAAACTAGGGCAGAAAATTCCGTTCGTTTGTTTTGATTCCTGAGCAGGTTATACCTTAAAGTACTGGGTTTGAGACGACCAAAAGAAGACGTCAATCCATAATAAAGAAAAAAAGAAAAAGAAAAACCCAAAGTACAGAAGCAGAGAAGATATGGGCTGCTCAAGACGAGATTGAAGTCCCAAGTTTTGCATATCCCATCTTGATCCGAAAAGATGAAGAAGATTGAACCAGCACCTACAGCTAATAAGCATCAAGATTCAGATTAGAGTCTGCATAAAGAGCCAGCCAAGACTCAAGTCAAAACTTCAAAAAATTTACAGATAGGAATCTTGTAACTCGTAGTTGATAGACTTAGTTAGCTTTCTTCATTTTTTACTTTGGTGTAATAAGGAGTTCAACAACAGTAACAGCAACAACAGTAGTGAAATCATAGTTTTCCGGTAGTCCCAGCTACCAAAACCTTCAGAACTACACTAACCTGATTCCTTTATAGCCAAGGATATGTAGGCAATCTTTGAAGCAAGGTTCGGTCAAACATTTTCAAAACGTTTCCCATGGAGTATCAAAACGGGTAAAATTGGTCCATGAATGCTCACTTTGTCTTTGCCCGAAAACTCTTCGTGTTTCCGAGCAAAGAGGGACATCTGTGAGCATGTAATTTTTACCCTACCAAAATACTCCTACAAAATTAATAAATAAATTATTCATATTTATTTTTTTTAGATTTCTTGTTAGGATTTTTGTTAATTATTAGAAATTATTTGCATTTAGTTGCATTTCTCATCTATTTTTAGCATTTTTGAAATCATAGAAAACAACAAAAATATTTAAATCCTCATCATATAGCATTATTAGGTTTTAATTAAATTTAGTATTTAATTACATAATTTGATCATATTATTAGAAGAAAATCACATAAAATGTTTTATTTTTGACATTTTTAGTTTTAGTGTTAAAATTAGTAATTTTTTCGTTTAATAATTGAAGATTAACTAATTATGTAAATAATACAAATAGATAGTTGGTTTAATTTTATAAATTAAGATAATTTAGCACTTAATTTAGGATTTGTTTAAATTAAATAGATTTTTAAAAGTTAATTAAATAAAATAGAGTTTAATTAGCCTAAAATCGGACTGGGCCAGTGTAAAACCTAGCACAATCCCCAAAACTTAGCCCAAAATACCCGAGCCCAATACCCAGAATCTGCCCAGCCCTATACTAATCCAAACGACGTCGTCTAAATGCCAGGCGATCCTGGTCGTTGATCTTCACAAGATCCAACGGCTCGGAACTCGCCTGTCACTTAATATATAAGTGTCCAAACCCTCTCCTACCCCCTCATTTCGTCTCCCCCCTCTCTCACATCTCTCTCTCTAACCCTAGAGACGACTCCGTCTCTCACCTCTCTCTAACCAAACCCTAGCCTCCCCAAAACGCTCCTCCCACGCCGCCGTCGGAAATCACCCTACGGCGGCGGTGGACCTCCAAAGCCACCCAAACTTACCCTATACACTCTCCTCACCTCCCTAAACCTCACCTTACCAACCAAATCTCCCAAAACCCCACCAATAATCATAGATCTTAGATCTAGGGTCTCCAAAACCCTAGATTTATTTTTCAAAACCCTAAATCCAACCTAGTCCGTTTAATAATCCTCCTGCCAAGATCTCCCATCAAGGATTTCAGATCCCAGATGGGAGTCTTGGCATGAGGGTTTTTAGCGATTAGATCTATTATTTTTTGGTATATTTTATGTTATTTCCTGTTTTTCATCTTTATATTTTGTGTCGATTATTGTTCTTCTTTCTTTATTTTATTTNAAATCAGTGCTTAGATATATTCTATTTTCCTTAATTTTTATATTATTACGCGTTTTATTCTGTGTTGTTACTGTTTTGTATCCTTTTTTGCTTTCTGTTTTTTTATTATTTATTTTTTATCTTTATTAGTTCTGAGTTTATTTTTAGTATTACTGCTGTGTTATTTATTTTTATTAAATTAATTTTCGTTCTTTTTTATTTATTTTTACTGTTATTTGGTTTGGTTAAGAACTGGGCCTCACTGAAGTGACTTGTTCTATTTGGCTCATAAATTGGGCCTGTCTATTTAGACAGGCCCATAACTTTGTAAAAGCTTAAGATCCTAAAGTCCTTCGGCCGAGAGTCACCCGACTCAGGCCCAGAACCAATCTGGTTCTGAGGTAATTCCAAGACCCTTAAGGGTCAGTTTTGGAATCCTAATTCTGAAAATTATTTAGAAAATATTAGAAACTTCTAGAATAGGGACAACTGTCCCAATGTTGAGTAGGAAAATAGGGATAAGATTCAAAAATATCCAAAAATTAGACACTTGTCCCTTTTCTGAGATAAGAAAGGTACTAAAAATTGGACAACTGTCCATTTCTGTTAAGAAAGATGTCATTTTCCTAATTTATAAGGAATTCTAGCAGATTCTTTTGTACCTAATTCTCATCCCTTTTCACTCTCTCACTCTATATAATACACTCCTCTTTCTTCATTAGAAAAGGATATGAAGACACATTATGGACACATATAGACTGCCTTAAGATTTTGCTCTCTTTCAAAAGAAAAACTTTTGAAAATCAACCTTGATCTTTGAGAATCAAAAATATACATTCCTTTCCTATTTTTAAAAATCTGGTCGTCTTCTTATTCTATTGGGTTTTATTGCTGCTGTTTTACTTCAAGCTTTCAGATACTTATTTTCTTATCTGTAGTTTGCTTGCTGCTATCAAGGTATTTTCTTTTAACAATGTAAAGTTTTATTTTTGCTGGTTATCAAGAATTTCTACTTCATCTGAGCACTGCATGAATCATATTGTTTGAAGTTGTTTGGTTGAGAGTTGTGTATGAAAGCATGTAGAGTTAATTATTTACACTGTTTTAGGCAATTTAAGTTATATTAGCTTCATTTTAAAGGGTTCTGAAAAAATTATAAAATCTGTTTAAAGCTTCATATAGTCATAAGATTGGTACGTTCGAATAGTTAAAAAGAGAAAATCTTTCTTTTTTCTAGAAAATTTGTTAGATTAGTAGTAGACAGATTTGTTATCACTGTCCATGTTAGTGAGATGTAATAATTTAATTTTGTTTTATATTATATCCTCTCATGCAATGCGTTAGTTAGTAGCTTTACTATGTTATTAAACAATTAAAATATACTAATTCCAATGCTATTAGTTTAAAATCATAAAAAGCTGGATTTTACAAGCAACCTAACAGTAATCAAGGTACGAATTCAGGCCCAAATCAATTGGGTCCATAAGATTGTATTCTGGGTCTTTGGCTAATAAAAATGAGTTGATTAAAGGCCTTTACACTTTAAGATTTTCAAATGCAAATGAGTTTTAAAACTTATCACTTTAACATAAGTTAATATAAGAAATAGGAGATTTAAGCAATTAATAGGAAATTATCCAATTTTAATTTTGGTTCGTGTCCCCAGACCCTTTTTAGTTTTCTGTTTTAAAAGATAAACAAAATATAAGTAAAATCTGATAATTGTTGTTATAAATTTTAATTTCAAACTCATTCACACAATTATGCACTGGGCCAGAGTCACATGGACTCATTATCACCAGGCCCAAATATCTTTAGTTAATTTTATTTAGTTGTCCATAAAAATGAACATTGGGCCAGAGTCATTTGGACTCATCATCAGGCCCAGATCTTTCTGAATTAAATGTGTTTAATTGACTGAATGCTTAATAACATTGAGTTGTGCCAAAGTCACATGGGCTCATTATCACCAAGCCCAAATGCCTTTAGTTAATTTCATTTAGTTGTCTATAAAATTGAACATTAAGTCACAGTCATTTGGACTCATCATTAGCCCTAGATCTTTCTGAATTAAATGTGTTTAATTGATTGATTGCTTAACAACATGGTATTGGGCCAGAGTCATTTGGACTCCATGATCACTAGGCCCAAATCGTTTGGATTGAATTCATTTAGCTGCCTTAAAATATGCATTGGGCAGTCAATTAGACTCAAACAAGCCCAAATCCTTTTGAACTGAATCCATTAGCTAAGCCCAATAACGAAAATATATGTCTTGGGCTAAAGTTCATTTGGACTCAATCCTCATCGGGCCTCAAACTTTAAATCTGGGCCTGTTTGACAGATAATACATAGGCTGCCCCCATCTAATACAAACAAACATATCACCTAGTATTAAACCTTTACACTTAGCCATATGACATAGAATATTTAGTTTAGAGACATAAGCATAACTCAAGGTATTTATAATCAACTTAATTATTACAATCATGTACACGCACGCGTGACATAGTTGTGATGCCAAAAACAAACCAAGGTACATGTTCGTGTGATCATGGTCAAACAATCTTAGTAAATAAAATGACTTAATTAAACACTCGTAGAAATGCTTTAGGCACGGATTTTAAACTACTATCGTGAATGCGTACATGTCCGCGTGACGTGATCCCGATATCCAAAATTAAATCGAGGTATGCGTTCGCGCAACTTCGACCAAACAATCTTAAATTAATAAAGCACAATTAATTGTGTACACGTTCGCGTGACATGATTTTAGTGCCCCAAACGAAGCAGACTTACACACATGTAGTCTGTTTCAAAGATTAAATCCATAAACGCCATAATTAAAAGCGGTAAAAGGTAAAATGCACTTAGGTTTTAAAATACGTGATAAAACAATCTAATTAAACCAGGTATGATTAAAGCGACCGTGCTAAAATCATGAAATTCGCGAGTGTCTGGCACCTTTTCTCGGATTAACAAAATTCCTTACCTGGTCTTCTGTGTTTGCGGAACATAAACCGAGTCAAATTTTCTCGATTTGGGATTTAAAATAAACCGGTGACTTGGAACACCCTAAATATTCCAAGTGACGACTTTGAAAAAAATAAAAATAATCTCAATTCGAATAATGTCACTTAAATTGAAAAAAACTCCCTTATCCCCTATCCCCTATCCCTATCGAGAAAAAGGAGGTGTGACAAGTGTTGTTTAAAGTAAGTTGGGAAGACTCACCTAAGCCACTAGCCACAGTCCACAGCACTGTATTTAGGATTTAGAGTCAGTAGGTCTGGTTCTTTATATATATACTTTCTTTTATTCTTTTCTTACACATATAAGGCCCGAGCCTACGCTAGCAATTCCTTCCATTGGATACATAAAATTATTTTATTGGACCACCCCTACAAATGCAGTTGTTGAAACTTGAAAGACAGAAAGAATGCGAAATCTGAAGGGATTTCATTCATTGAACACTTTGTAAAGTTACAATGCAGTTAGACTTACAAACCCTTCTTTGAGCAACTACAAGGAAACTACTAAACAAGAAAAGAAAAACTAAAAGGAAAAGAAGAAAGGTCATTGAAGGTTATGATTTCTGGTAAATCTTCAGTAATAACTTAATGTCGCCGCATCCCTCAATATAATCCACTTTCTCTCAGATCACCTCCTAAAAAACAGAGAAATTAACAGATGTTAGTAAATAAACAATGGTGTTGGAAAGTAAAATATTGATAGGAAGTATCAGAATCGCATGGAAGATGTCTCACAAAAATCCCTAGGTGTCTTGCATTTATAACATTCTTCTCTGCTTGCATAGTTGTGCATACCACATCCAATTCTGTCGATCAAGGAAGTTATGTTAGTTAAAATCCCAACTATAGTATGTCACCTGCACATATCAGTAGTAAAAGGAGGAGAATTGCGGCAGGCTAACAGTTAGCGTAAAACTAGTCAATCTTGTGATGATTCCTCATAATACAATGTTTTCTAGGAGTCCTAGTCTTATCAGAGATTTATATGCCAGTAGAAAATATAGTAAACTTCTAGTATTTTTTAATTTTATTTTGTATATTGTTGGTTTGAGATGAGTTTAACTAGAGCGATATTGGACAGTAGTGATGGTGTTGTTGCAGTATTGGACAGAGATGAGATTAAAAGGAGAGACATTAACCTTTAGGATTCATACAGTTAAGCCTATCTTGCTCGGGATTGAGGCGTAGTTATTGTTATAGAGTAAGTGAACTGCATGGGAAATGAAATGTGTAAATATGAACTGACCTGCTGCAAATCCAATCACCACTCTTCCAACCAGGAATAGCACTTGCATCATATCCATAACCTGCTGATGCCATCACTCCTGCCCCAACAGCGTAATAATCACTTCTTAAGGCACCACATCTATAGCAGTTTGTTCGACTCGCATAGTTGTGAGAACCACAGTTCATCGCACTGCAATACCAGTCTCCAGCTAAGACTTCTGCTTTGTTTAGTCCATACATGGCAACATCAGCCGGCGTTGCATATTTAGGACAGCTGCATCGTTGGCATGCATCCCGTTTCTTGAAATTTATGTGTTGGCATGCAGCACACATCCAATCTCCACTGCTCATTTTATGTCTACCTGAAATTGAACTTGAAAATATGATGAGAACAAATTTTCATATGGGAAGTAAAATAGGCCATTAAATCTTATTGGTTATCCATCTTTGAGGCCTCATTCTATACATGGTTATAGTCAACAAGGTCTCAGTTCTATATGCTAGAACTGCATTGCTTACACATGAACAGTTATTTCATTCTAGGAAAAAATTTCGCAGCACATTAATCTTGTATTTAAGGGCCTAGTTTGTTTGAAAAACTTGGACTCAAGACTAAAGTTATTGTATTTTTCTTCCTTTTTTGTGTAGAAGCTGGAAGAATAATGAAATGAACCACAAAAGGAAACTAAATCATCGATGCCTCACCTTGATAATTTGAAGACTTGAACTTCTCAACTAGACGTAAACTTGAAGCTCAAGAAATGGTTTGCTGTAAGTGGTAATTTTGATGAATGGTTTGGGGAGGTATATATAGTTGGAAGACCTCATTGTTTGGGGCCCAAAGTTTACTTTTTGATCTGTTTTGTGACTTCAAACAGTTTCCTTAAATGAGATTCCACAAGATAGCGCAAATTTTCCAAAAAAGAGTTGGATAAACCAACTACTTTCCTTCCTTATTGACTGTAGAGGTATGGCTCTCTAAAGTTGTCGACTGTCATATTCATGCATGTGAAGCATATTTTCTTGCAGAAGTCCAATAATGCCCCTCCTTACCTGTTCGACTGTCCATTATTCTACTAAAAAGGAGCTCCTCAAAATATTATTCTTTGTTCTGTATCCATTTCTAGTAGGTGTTATGAGGGGAAGATGTTATGTGAAAGGTGGGGTTATTTTACCGCGTGATCTTGCTAAGATAGATGGACCCTTGAGATGATTTGGATTCTCACGCTTACACATTAGATTAGTGTGTGTAATCCACATTGCCAATGCAAGCAACTGCCTGACACGAAGGCTAACGTCGTTCAGGTGGAAAATGGTTCAGGTTCTAAAGGGGCAAAAACTGTGACAAAGTTTACCACCAAGGAATCAATTCCCTCATAATGCAAATTCAAGTCCTATTATTCTTATTGTGTAATATTCTTCTTAATAATTCAAAAGTGGACTTCTTTTCATCTCCTGTTTAGTCATGCATGTGTTAGAAATCAGAGCACTCTAGATATTATCAGACCAGTCCTTAGTTTCACCAAATAGATTGCTAAGAATGTTAACAGCTTTTATCGGTACAGACAGGTGATACATTAATTCGGAACAAAACATGAGAGTTGCGTTATTCCTGACAGTATTTAATATATCAATTTTAAGAGAAATACCTCTTTCTTGACTGGTACCTGAGACAATGTATTAAGGTATACAATCACACGACGTTTACCTTTGTTTTTCATCAATTCTCTGAAGATTCTGAATGTGATGCATGGCACAAGATTTGAACTTTATGACTTTGAAGCCCTGTAATTGTTTTTATGATAAGTTATAAGGTTAACCATCTTTGACAATAATCAGTTTAGTGATCTCTCTCTTTTCATAAAAGGAAAAGGATTGTAAGGTTATACTATAACTTTTCCTTGGTTCAAAAGCCATAAAAGGAGAATGCTAATATCTGAACTCCCTTACTAAAGGGATAGTTTATTATGCATTGGTAAGAGTTTTCAAGCAAAGATCCAAGAATTGACAAACTCTCCGCACAGTTATAAGTGGCAAGAAATGAGTGAATATTACACAATCTATGGTCATTGATGAGTCACAGAAAAAAATCCAGGCCTCTCATACAAACACATAACATGGTTTTCATAGTGAAGCAAATCAAGAGTAATCCGAGATTGACAATGAGTTGAAGTCGCTTGACCAGTTATTGGGACCGTGAATGCTGACATGGAAACTGTAGCTGATTCCACCTAAGCGCAGAAGCTCGAGTGTTGACATAGGATTTGATAAGGAGGAATCCTAATCACCATTTTTAACCAGACAAGATGAACCTCAGACAAAGTTTCATCCTTTATTCTATATGCGTGACCATTCTATAAAGGGGGCCAATATTCCTCAATAATACTTGCCAGAATCTACATCATAATGGTAATGATAAAAATAGCCGTTGCTTTTGAATTTTGCATATTCCTATTGTGCTGTCAGAAGGTAAGTTTTAGCTTGTGCTTTTTTCCCTAATAGTGCTTAATTAAGATATATTTTTCTTATCTATACAAGCGAGTTATTTCAAAAAGGAAACAACTCATCCTTTAATAACAATATTGATGATAGTGACCATAAGAGAAAGAAGAATGATTGCAGATGCGCTGTCCCTCTCTGGATGTGTTCATTATAGCCAAAATAATGCTTAAAACTGTTTTAGCTGGGGTTCTCCACTACTTTTAGCAAGATCTTGGTTTGACAAGTGAGTTGATGCTCTCTTATATCTCATCAGAATAAAGGGTTCTAAACAAGATCACTTGTAGTGGTAAAACAAGAATCGTAGAAAGCCAGAAAATCAGTTTAGCTAGCATTTGTAGTGCCCACAGATAACCGTATAGGGACAAGTTATTTAGATATTTATGGTCATTATGTTTAATGATTGGGTTGCTTGATGTAAGAAGCATCTTAGAAAAGTAAGCCAATTATCGATTGTCAAGCAATGCAGCAACGAGTAGCCACAGCTGCAAAAGTATCAGAGGCCAGGAGCTTTTCTCCTTTGACTTCTTAACAGATGCTCCAGGATCTTGGTTATAGGTGGCAAGAAACTAGCTAGCTAGTTATTCATTTGAACATTCTCAAACTAAATTCTTATCTCAGCTACTAGTTACTGCAGTTGCCTCATTTATCTCAAACTCAAACCAGATATCTCTCCTACATGCCTTTCTATCATTTGTGTGCTCAGCTTATAGTTTCTACATCAAAACATCAACGGAAACACCAGTTTAAGTCAAGGTTTTTAGCCTGCAACAGTGCTCCCTTTGCAAGGGATTTTCTTTCCTCTATATATTAGGAATTTATGACTTCATCTGATGAATGATAAACTAATGACGGTTAAGTGTAGAATTTTAATAATGATCAAATATCCATAAAGAAGTCTTGACTAATGTTATATTAGTGTATGCAGATTCAGGTGAAGCAAGCATTGCCAAAAAGGAATGAAGATCTGCTCAATGGCTATGTATTTTGAACCATTGCCTTATATATAACTCACCTGCAAATACAAATAGCAGATCATGTATGAAGGAAGATTCAAAGTGGAAGGGAAACATAATATAATGGGAGACAACTTGAAGTATTGTTCCTCTACCCAATAAAGCATGGAGCATGGAAAGCACTCCCTGGATAAACTAATCCAGCCCATCTACTCCTTTCTTCGACAAAGCATGGAGCATGGAAGCACTCTCTAGATCTCGGCTTGGAACACTAGATTATTAAATCCAGCCCATCCTTCTTGAAGGAATTAAAGGCATGAGTCATGAATCAAATATCAAAAACAAATCAACAACAGCTCTAAAATCTGGTCTATAAGAAGAGTGGCATACTCAAGGATTGGATGCGCAACTACATAAACTGATTCTAAACCTTTCTAGTTCTTAGTACAAACATTGTATTCTTGAGTCTACAAGTGTCATAAAAGATAGGAAGAGATAGAACACAAAAAGAAAGTTGTGTCAACATTACAAAAGGCATTATCACTGAATGTTGTTGATGGTGAGCGAACCAAAACCATCATCATTGTAACCTATTATCAAAGATCTAAGAAGTCCCTTGTGACCCAAGGGAAACTAGATGTAAGTACCTCACCGGTATAAAAATTATTGTGTCCTATTATCTTTCAGTTTGCTTGGTTTACTTCTCTTTAACTGTTCACTGTGCAGAATCTAGTCGACTAAACTCATATTTAGTTAACTAAGTTTTAATTGACCACAATTCACCCCCCCTCCCCTTGTACTTTCAATTGGTATCAGAGCAAGGCTCACAAACTTTGCTTAACAGCTAGTGAGAAAAAGATCATGGGATCAAACACAGTCGTTAGTGCATTATTTCAAGAGGGGACCTCTCAGGTACGACCTCCATATTTCAACGGGCAACACTTTTTTCACTAGAAAGTTCAGATGAAAACATACACTATGTCATATGACATCAAAGTTTGGCATGTGATCAAAAAGGAAAATCTTCCAACTCCATCAAAGAAAGATGAGAATGGTCAAGTCATAGTATCAACTGACCCACTTGACTTAGATGATTACACTGATGAACATGTTGCTGTCATAACTGTGAATGCCAAAGCAAAAAATCTTATGTATAATGCTATCAGTGGAGAAGAGTATGAAAAGATTTCGAGCTGTGAAACTGCTAAGGATATGTGGGATAAATTGGAAGTGACATATGAAGGGACCAACAAGGTAAAAGAAACAAGGATCAATCTTCTAGTTCGTGACTATGAACTATTTCAAATGAAAAATGGAGAATTAGTGGAGGAAATGTTTTCCAGGTTCAGCAAAATCCTTGGAGATCTAAAATCTCTTGGTAGACCAATCAAAAGCGGAGAACATATCAGAAGAATTCTTAGAAGTCTACTCACAATTTGGCAGCCCAAAGTTATTGCTCTAGAATGTCAGGACCTTGACAAAATGTCCTATGATGAACTTAGAGGTGATCTAATTACCTTTGAGAAAACTCACTTGGACATGCAAATTCATCAAGAAAAGAAGAAAACGGTTGCCTTTAAAGCAACTGTTGCTGAACCAGAAAATGAAGAAGAAGAGGAAGGAGGAGAACAAGATGAAAATATAGCCATACTCTCCCAAGTTGTCACAAGCATGATGAGGAAAATCAGATATAGCAGGAGAGGTAGATCAAACTTCAGAAAAGGAAGGATGAATAATGAAAATAATAAAAATGATGTAAGATGCTATGAATGTGGGACACATTCAAGATGATTGCCCCGAACGGAACAAAAAGCCAAGCAGGAACTTTCAAAAGAAGAAGTCCTTTGGAGCATGGAGCGATGAAGAAGAATCTGACCATGAAGAAATTGCAAATATGTGTTTCATGCTCATAAAAGAAGATAGCAATAAAGACTCAGGTGAGCTTGGGCTCATGGAAGACAAAGGAGCAGATGAGGAAGAAGATACCGGCGAACTTTGTCTAATGGTAGACGAGGGAACCAGTGAGGTACGTCTTCCTACATGTCCCAACTGTTATAAACTTCAAGAATTTGTTGATATTGCTCTTGCAGATATTGAAAGAGTTTTAAATGAACTTAGAAAAATCCAAAGAGAAAAGAAAGATTGGGCCTTGAAGCTGGAAGTGTGTGAAATTGAGCGTGAAATGCTTCAAGATGAAGTTAATGAACTTAAACTTCAACTGAATGGATTACTAAAATCCACAAGTCATAGTTCTATCAAATCAAATCAGACTGTTCCTCATACATCTTTGATTAGAACTAGAAACTCTCAGGGATGCTCTTATTGTGGTAAAAATGGTCACAATACTAACCAATGGAGGAACAGAATCAGAGTAGAAAAGGGACTCTAAAAATCAAAAAAATCCATTGTGTTTTTATTGTGGAAAACCTGGTCATACTTCTTACCGTTATAGGATCAAAGACAGGAGATAGGTCTGGCGACCTAAATCTGTTAGTCAAGATAACACTCAGAAGTCTAACCATTCAGGACCCAAGCAGGATTGGATACCTAAAAACAAGTAATTTTATTTTGCAGGAACACCGCAAGAAGAATCGAAAAGAAAAATGGTATCTTGACAGCGCGTGGTCTAGCATATGATTGGTGACAAACAATTATTCAAAATTATCACCAGACTAGATGGAGGAACAGTTACATTTGGAGATAAATCAAAAGGAAATGTAATTGGCGTTGGAAAAGTTCCTCTCAGCTCAACATGTGATGTAGATAAAGTATATCTGGTTGATAAACTTGGGTACAATCTTCTCAGCATTAGTCAACTATGTGACAATGACTACGAGGTTCGTTTTAAAAAATATGGTTGGTTTATTGAAGATGAATCAGGTAAAGTTATTCTCTCTCGAAATAGGGACAAAAATGTTTATACTATCAGCAACTTGGAAAGCGTTGGTAATCAAATTTGTCTAGCTTCCATTCTTGATGACCCGTGGGTATGGCATAGAAATCTTGGTTATGCCAGCATGCATACTATTCATAATCTTTCTAAAAACGATCTTGTTATCGGTCTTTCAAAACTAGATTTTTTGAAAGATCTAATTTGTGATGCATGTCAACTAGGAAAATAAACCAGATCCTCATTTAAAGCCAAAAAGGTTGTTTCCACTACAAAACCTCTTCAACTATTGCATATGGATCTTTTTGGACCTACTAGAACTGCTAGCATAGGTGGTAAAAAATATGCTTTTATTATAGTAGATGATTTTTCTAGATTCACCTGGGTTATTTTTCTAAGTCACAAAGATGAAGCTCTACGAAACTTTGAAGTCTTTTGCAAGAAAGTATAGCGTGAAAAATGTTACTACATTTCCTCCATAAGAAGTGATCATGGAGGAGAATTCAAAAGCAAAGCTTTTGAGAACATCTGCAATGATCAAGGGATCTCTCACAATTTCTCTTTTCCAAGATTGCCACAATAAAATAGAGTGGTAGAACGTAAAAACAGAACTCTATAAGATATGGCAAGAACCATGATTGTGAAAAATTCTCTCTCACACTACTTTTGGGCAGAAGCCGTAAGTACAATATGTCATATCATCAACAGATGCCTTATTCGACCAATACTCAAGAAGACTCCATATGAACTATGGAGAGGAAAAAGACCCAACATCAGTTATTTTTATCCCTTCGGTTGTAAGTGTTTTATTCACAACAATGAAAAAGATAATCTTGCTAAGTTCGATCCCAAAAGCGATGAAGGTATTTTTATCGGATACTCTCCCTCTAGTAAAGCATATAGAGTTTTTAATAAGCGTACTTTATCTATTAAAGAATCTATACATGTTATTTTTGTGGATACTAACCCTCATTTGAAGAATGATCATCTTCCTGAAAATGAAAAAATTTCCATAGTGCCAAAGTCTATCGATACAAGTGGAATTGCCTCTGATGAAGTTATTGATTAGCAAGATCAGTCGACTATGCATCTTA